TTTGATGTTACGTACATTATTAACATTACAGAATCCACATATTCCTGCCAGTTTTAATATGTATTTTGTAATCAACAAGTGTGTAACACCGGTCAAAGTTTGACACTTCTCTGGCCATTATCTCCGTAACCGTTCAACTTTGGACATAGGTGTTTTGGGTTATATCGGCATACTTTAACATAAGGAACACCCTCCCGAAGTTTGGTCCATTCCTCCTGGGACACCCTGTATTTACGTGACATAAAGTTCAGAAACTTTTGTATTGAGAGTGCAGAAGGGTGTGTACTTTACCAGGATATACCTTCAACATAAGTGTAATGGTGCTGGGGTTTCTTTGCTTCTTCCAAAATAAAACGCTTGTTAATTTCCATTGTCAGGACTCGAAAAATGAAATCCAAATTGGGGAGAAATGTAAATCTGAGGAAACGTTAAATCATTAAAATTTTAACATTGTTTTATGGGCATTTGGCCCCGACAAAAATAAAAGAGTGTATAAAATCAAGAAGAACAAAAGAATCTGAGAGTATAAGATTAATGTTTTGCTCTAAATATATTTGTTGCCTCCCAAATTGGATCATGACTTTCTAAATTGATGAAACAAATAAAATGTGATGACATTGAGACTATTTTATAATTACAGGAAACAGACCTGTTGGAGGGAGCAATTTCACAACTTATTTCCAACATCCCTGCACCAAGTGAAAGTCAATGCAGAGAAGACGAGAAGTGTCCTGAGATATCTGATATCCAGTATGTGAAGGCTGTGCGGTATTCAAAGGCTCTTCCTCCAGCAACAGTGCAAGCAGCAAAAGTGGGCCTTGACCCACTTATATCAGCATCTCGTGCGAGGCCTGTCTCACCTATGAGGCCACTTACTGTTACCATCCCTGAAGCACCTTCAAAGATACCACCAGACTCTGACTGGTCTGCAGTGAAACGTGAATCTGTTATAACATCCTTAGGCTCTTCTGTGAAGACAGAGTCTGTACCTCCACCCCCCCAGCAATTGCCACCACAAAGACATGAGACGGTACTGGTTAGTGCACAGATGAATCCACCTCGGAGTGTGACAGACTGCACAACAGGGTTGAGGGCACGAGTAAATCCTGTGCTGAAGCGGACCAGCGAAATTGCAGACTGTGATGCGCAGAATAGTTCTAAGCGTCAGCATGTAAGCTATTCTCGGCGAAGGGAAAGACGGCCCACAGAACCTCCAGCCCAACTCCAGCTCAAAAGCTCTTCATTAGAAGAACCTAGAAGGACACCTGATGAACAGCTTCGACTTCTCATGATGCGAGAGTCTTCATATACAAGTGCTCCTGCCAATTCTCCCTTACACGGCATTGCAAGGGATTGCTCAGAACTCAGTGCTCTTAGTCCCTTGTCTCCCGCACTTGGTGGTGATTTTGTTGCTCCTGATTTCCAGCCCTCACCCGGAAACTTCACTGTAAAAATTAATCAGACTGTTGTTCATAGCCCAAACCCCAGTTCCCCTGTTGCTCCCATGATGTATGTACCGCTCAATATAACAGCTGGAAACCCCAGTCCAGGTCCACAGTCCCCCGCTCACAGCAGCAATAGTATGCTGGAGTTCACCCCAGCACATCTTTTGAATAGTGCCCACTCACCTTCTTCCCAACTCCCCACACAAGTGGCTTCATTTAGTGTAGGTGTAGGATATGGAAGTCTTTTGGACAGCTTTGGTCCTCCAGAGTTACCTTCACCCCCTCAGTATACCTCCATCAACAGCTGTGGTGTAGGGCGGAGCAGTGTTATGGCGGGAGGGGAGATGAGCAGCATGCTCAGTCCTGGTGATTCTTTTTCGTCACTGGGAACACTGGACACCGACCTGGCTGAACTGCTGGCGGGTAACACCAGCATGTTACTTCCTCCTACAGGTTTGTAAGGCTTCCACTAGGAAAAGTGAACTGGAGTGATCTAAATTCTCACTGCAACTTCTTTATTAAGGAAATGTAGTTCTTAACTAAGCTTGAGAGCAAGTGTAGTGTGGTGGGCTGGAATTTTTGTATTCTTTCTCTAAGTTCTACCAGGCAGGGCTCCAGAAGTACAACATAAATCTACAGAGCTTTCAAACGAAGAAATATAGCAACACAGTAAATATGACAGATGTTTTGGTTGTGATCATTGTGTAACCAATATGAGAATATGTCAGTAAATGTATTGTGATTGAAGGCACTGCCCGTTCAGATCTTTTTGACTTAATGTCTGAATTTTGTATTCTTACAGTGATGTATATGATTCAACAGCAAGTTTTCATAGTCAGATTGTTATTAAGAGAAACATAAAAAATGACTTTGCAGACTAATTTTAATTTGTAAATACCTGTAAGAATGAGCTGTCACAAAGCTCTGTATATCAGAGTCTGTCACAAAACGGTGAACCTTGGGTTTAGTTAAGTACTATAATCATCCAGAGAAGAGAAGGTGATGTAAGTATCTTTGCTTGTCTGCATGTAGTTTGAAAGCTGAAAGTGTCTGCAGGATTTGTGGATGACTGTGGATCATTGTCATTGGTACACTGAAGGTTGGTTTGTTCCTAATGAACACTAGAATGGTCAAGGTCAACGAGTTGTAACCACAGCTTGCTTTATGTTCTTGTCCTAGAGGTTTGTAGAAGGTACTATGTCGCTGTGGATGCCCATTCCAATGTCCTGTCCCTTTAATTTTTTTCTCAGATATGTACAATAATAATGTCACATGTTTTCAGAAGTTTAGTCTGTCACATATACAGGTACGCTTTGTTATATGGGAGTTCAAAGAATGTGGCTTAAGTTTATTGCAGTCAACTAACTTAGACCAATTTCAGTTATTACGAGGGAGAGTCAGTAAATAGGTAACAAATGGATATAAACCATAAAACATGTGATATTTGAACCTGGAAAAGGCATTTTCTTGACATATCCTCCAGGAACACTGATACACCTGTCCTGTCTCTTTACCAGTGTGTTGAAACTTGCAGCACAGAACTTTTTGACTGTTGTCTCAGCCATTTCCTCGCCTTTGTTTCAACATCTTCGTCATCAGAAAAACATTTGCCATCAAGATGGTATTTTAGTGCACCAATGAAATGGAAGTCAGTAGGAGCCAAGTCTGGCCTCTAAGGTTCAAAATGTTCCCACTGTAGTTCTTGAATTCTCTCCTGGGTTGCTCAGGCTGGATGTGGTCTGGCATTGTCATGATGAAGAAGTACCCCTCTTGACATTTTCTGCAAATTGCGTTCCAAAGCTTCAACAAAACTTTACAGTATGATGCAGAATTCACATTTTCACCATGCTTCTGAAACTGGGCTAACAGTACTCCCAGAGAATCCCAAAACATGGTAAGCATAACCTTCCAAGCTGTTGGCATAAGCTTAAACTTTTTGCTTGAAGGTGAACTGGGATGTTTCCATTGGATTGAAGCACACATTGATTTGGGTTGGTAGTGATGCACCCATAATTCACCCTGAGTAATAATTCTGTTAAGCATATCTTCTCCTTCATCTGCATACTGTAAGAGATCTAAGGACAGACCCATTAGGTTCATTTTTTCTTGATTCTTCCTTCAGTTCTATGGGCACCCACGATGTGCACGTTTGTGAAACTTCAAACAATCATGCATTATGGCTGTATGCTAAACCATGGGAACATCCTAGTGCAGCTGCTACCATGTCTCTTGTTATCCTCCTATCAGCTTGAATGAATTCTTCCACCTGATGCATAGCTGCTTCTGTCGCAATGTCAACAGGGCATCATTGCAGCTTTTGAACGTCATTGAGGGAATTTTTTGATCCAGTTATGTAACTCTTTACGCAACAGACACTTCACACCATAAACAGGCATTATCCCTTGCATTGAGTCCTTTTGCCCACAAAGAAACGCACAGCAGAACACTATTCCTCAGTAGCAATTTGCCATTTCGACCACTGAAACTAGCCCCCGAACATGTGCAGGCACATCTGCTACTTAGATTATCATGAAGCTGGACTGTGCTACTACACAGTAATACACATAGAGAACTTATTACATCCTTTACAGCTGTTTTACTTCCATTTGTCACCTATTTACTGACTCCTTCATAGCAAATTACTTGCTGGCCGATAGAGAGAGAGTTGGGAGAAAGGGGTGTAGATTATTGTGTGGATTTATTGAGGAATGTGAGATGAGATGGGAAAATTGTGTTTGATTTATGTGATTTCTGCCTTTTTTCTTGGAGCACAACTATTTTGTGCATTGAGGAATATCTATGACTTCACCTGTATTTTTGAAGATCCATGAACTAGTTTCTGTAACACAAAATTGGGATAGGGACCAACAACTGGGACTGTGTTTCAGAGCATGTGTACATTGTCTTTATGTAAAAGAAAGTCATGTGAGACACCCAAATTGCATCATATCATTGTTAAAGTGGGAGCTTTTGTAATGTGTAATACACCAGTGTGAATATTGTGTTTACTTCGTCTGTTGAAACGATCAGTGAAGAAGATACTTGTAAAATAACATAGAAGCTAAGATAGGGCCAGAATAGTTTTCTGTTCTTCATAAGTTCCAAACAAGATTTCTCATACTGAACTAAGAAAGATAAAAATATGAGAGAAGTATCTTTACAGGTACCATATGTACAGTGAAAGAATAGAGTAAGTAGATCATTGGCAGTTCTGCTGAAATGCCATTGTTAGGTAGATAATATGAAACAGTATTTTATATAGGTGTACCTTCTATCAGGATTTTATTTCTGAAGACACTCACGTAGTTAGACTAGACAGGTAGAAGCAGAGAAGTTTTATGTGAGCTGATGAACTTCATATATCCTCTGCTTTCGTAAGAAATTCTATAAAAATCCAGAAGTTCTGAGAAGAGCTTATTACAGCTGCTTTTCATAAAATACTGCAGTTTGTATGGGAGGTCTGGCAGTAGCTGTAAACTGATAGTTATTCAATTTAGTAGTCCTTTTGTTACTGTCTCCATCACAGTACAGAAATAATGTTATTGTTTTCTTTTCATAATCATAATATTTTTGTAATATATGATATGTACTCATATCTTACATGGTAACTTCCTTCTAAAAGAAGTTATTGAAGGAAAGATAGAGGGGCGGATAGAAGTGACCAGAAGACGAGGAAGAAGACGTAAGAAGATGCTGGGTGACCTTGGGGACAAAAGAGGATATTTTCATTGAAGGAGAAAGCTTTAGATCACATCAAGTGGAGGAACTGTTTTGGAAGAGACTGTGGACCTGTCGTCTTGACAGATGAATGAATGAATGATATGTACAAAGGCTCAGAACAGTAAAATTGCAATAACAATAGAATGACCATGAAACTGGGATCACATGAAGCAGATTCACATTGTACTACACCTTTTGATAATGTGTTCTCTTTGACAAGATTTTGTTGATAAGTGGTGTGGGTGATTTGATTCTTGACCCAGAGACCAGGTGCCTAGGGTGAGGGTTTTCATTGTTTTCTCCACTCCCTTCAGGCAATTGGTGTGATGCACCTGAAATGATCCCATCCTTCCCAGTTCACCATCCATGACATCCTTCCATTTGTCACTGTGCAGTTTAAGGTAGAAACTGGTGCGGGGGGGGGGGGACATTTTCCTATACTGTAGGAGAGGGAAGTGTAGACTTTCATCTTCATTATATAAAGATAAGTGGAATTCATAGTGAAAGTTACTTATCCTTCCTAACAGGTCAGCTGTTCGACGATGCAGGGTTAATATCAGAGCAACCATCAGTCAGCGAACAACTTCCTCTGGTTGAGCAGCGGCTGGTGCAGACTCACCGTGAGCTTGGTACCAATCTGCAGCTGCAGAGACGAAACATCAACCTGATTGAGGAAGATATGAATCAGTATCCACTTAACATCGCCAGCGAAGTGCTGAGACCCCAGATCTCGCAAATCAAGGTAAAGCCAAGGTCAAGCCAACCTGCTGTAAACTTCTTCTTTGTGTGCTGTAATGTACTAATTTGTATATAGTAATCACAAACGCCCACATGTTTTATATATGATTTAAAATATTGTTGTGTGTTAACAGTGCTGTTGTGATAAACACATGCACAGCAAAAGAAATGAATTTAAATAAGCAGTGGAGACATAACTTATACATGATTGTAACTTATCTGTGATTATCTTTGTCAATAATATAATGAATATCAATGGCTGATGATAATTCTGAAATTTGTAGAAACTTGATACCTGTATTAGGTAGGTCCCCTGTCCCCATGTCATGGTGTGTCCTCAAGTTGTGGATGGAGGAGATGGCCTCCAAACATGGAGGGTAGCTGCGAATATATTGAATAAGAAGTTGCCGACAGCTGGCAAGGGGTGGTCCTCCACTTTGGCGATTTGGAATGGGGTTAACAACTCCTCATCGTAAAAATTTATTTGTTACAAAATATCACAAAGTGTCTCAGACTTGGGACATATTCTTTAGATAAATGACCTAAATTAAGGTTTTAATGTTTTAAGGTTGAAATTGCTATTGTAAAGTTGAAAAGATATAAATTCCCAGGTAGTGATCATATTCCGGAAGAACTGATTCAAGCAGGGGATGAAATATTATGGTATGAGATCCATAAGGTCATTAATTCTAGTTGGAATAAGGAAGAATTGCCTAATCAGTGGAAAGAGTCTGTTATTGTACCAGTTCACAAGAAGGGTGATAAAACTGACTGCAGTAATTATCGGGGGATATCACTGCTATCAACTTCATACAAAATTTTATCCAATATTCTTCTCTTGAGGTTAAATCCATGCATAAGTGAAATTATTTGGGATCATTATTGTGGGTTTCAGCATAACAGATTAACAACTGACCAAGTCTTTTGCGTTCATCAGATATTGGATAAAAAAATCGGAGTACAATGAGACAGTACATCAGCTATTCCTAGACTTCAAGAAAGCCTATGATTCAGTTAGGTGGGAAGTATTGTACAATATTCTCATAGAGTTTGTATTACCCATGAAACTAGTTAGGCTGATTAGAATGTGTTCAGAAGAAACGCATAGTAAAGTCTGTATAGGTAAATATTTGTCTGATAATTTTCCTGTCCAGAATGGTCTAAAACAAGGAGATGCTTTATCACCACCGCCTTTTAACTTTGTTGTAGAATATGCCATTAGGAAGGTCCAGGAATCCAGGTGGTACTGAAATTAAATACGACACATCAGATGTTGGTCTATGCTGATGATGTGAATCTACTTGGTGATACCACAGATGCCATAAAAAAATGCAGGACCTTTAATTGATGCTAGTAAGGAGGTTGGTCTAAAAGTAAACGCAGTGTAACATGTTTTGCCACTGAAGACACCGTTCAGATTGTTAATTGGTTTATTTAACAACCTACAAGTCTCGGCTACAATTAATTACAACAGTGTTATGGGTTTACACACTTTACAAACCCTACACACAAATCTGTCCACTCTGACCTCAGTAGTCTACACGTATTCACAGTACAATATTGTAATGGCCGGTGTCATCACCAGGATGCATGGCAAAACCATCACATAAAGATAGCTAACAGATACTTTGAAAATGCAGCACATTTCAAGTATTTGGGAATGACAGTAAAAAATCAGAATTCAATTCGGGAGGAAATTAAGAGGATATTGAATTTGGGTAATGCGTGCTACCATTCAGTGCAGAAGCTTTTGTCTTCTTGTCTGCTGTTTAAAAATGTAAAAATTGGGCTATACAAAACTATAATTTTGTGCTTGGTTCTGTTTGTTTTGTGAAACTCGGTCTCCAACGTTAAAGGAGGAACAGAGACTGAAGGTGTTTGAGAACAGAGTGCTGAGGAAAATATTTGGACCAAAGAGAGATGAAGTGACCGGAGGTTGGAAAAAAGAACTGCATAATGAGGAACTTCATAACTTGCATTCCTCTCAAAGTATAATTAGAATGATCAAGTCAAGGAAGATGCTAGGAGCAATGCATGTAGCACAGATGGGGAATTTTCATACAGGATATTGGTTGCAGAGCAAGAAGGAAGGAGACCACTAGGAAGACCAAGATGTGGGTCAGTGGATAATATTAAAATGGATATTAGAGAGATAGGAGGGGTGGTGTGGGCTGGATTGATCTGGTTCAGGATAGGGACCAGTGGAGAGCTCTGATGAACATTACTGAAGCTTCAGATTCCATAAAATGCTGGGAAGTTCTTGAGTAGCTGTAGAACTAGTGGCTTTTCAAGAAATGCTGAGCTCCGTGAAGTTAGTTATTTAGTCAGTCAGTCAGTTTAGAATCTTGATGCACACCAGGATGGAGTAATGCTGTGCTGGTCCTCAGCATGGTAGTAGCATTGATAAAGATGTGGTAGAATGTTACTCAGCTTTTCCTATGTATGAAAGGTAATTGAATTGGCACACTTAAAATGTCATTCTGTTTTTGAAGGCTCAGCAAAAGAAGCAGGAACAGGAACTGATGACATTGCAGCAGGATCACCACAACATGCACTGCAACAACAAGAAACTCACTGTGTGTAGGATGAACCAGGATGTTGGTGTGTAGACGGGATGGCTTTGCAAGATAACCAAAGTGTATTGTTAATGGCATTGTCCATTGAGGTGCTTGTTACCAAGTGAAAATAATGTGGCAACGTTGTGGGTTTGACACATGACTGAGCTGCATGCCGTAACTCAGGCAGCCAAGCTCAGGTTTGAATTGTAATGTGAGATTGCAACTCTTTAATGGACAGTATGAAGTTGAAGATATTTGTTTGTAAATTATACCATATTTCAAGAAGACAAGTATCTACATATAGCACATTTTATGAAAAAGCTAGCTGCAACTCTTTAAATGTACTCTACCAAGAAAGTAGGCCATTAAATGCTGGCTCTATGTTAATGTGATTCATATGTATATATGTTTTTTTTGTCCCTGTCATAGTTTAGATACTACAAAAAAGCGGAATAAATCCTGAGACTAAGTCCTCCCTTCAGACATAATTGAAATGATGTTAGTAATGAAATATTAATAGTCCATTTAAATAATCCATAGATAATAACTACATAGAAGGTTTAATCAACAAATAATTCTAGGTGTAAAGCCAGTGGGTTCTGTCTCTGTCAGTAGGGTATGGGATCAAGTTTGGTATAAATGTGACTTGGAGAGGATTTCCAAGTCAATCGTGAAGTATGAAAGCAGTGAAAAATATTAACATCAGACTCTGATAGGAGAAACCAAGGTCAGTTCTCTCAGAAATATTATTTATAATATGTTCACAGCAAGAAAGCAGAGTCATGCTTCTGTGAATCTGACACTAGTAAGTGGGTTCACAGGAAACTACTTTTTGCTGTACACCAGGTTTGAAAGCCTGTAGCTCGTTTATTTCTTGGTATATTTTAATGACTTGTGGTTCTATTGAAAAGTGACCTGTTAGCCATCATGTAAAATAAGAATTTATCTCAGTAAATTTATCCATGTTCTTCTCCTTTTCTGAGCATTATGGTATTTTTTTTACTGCTAGTGGGTTGGGACTAAGTCCCTTGTACTGCGGCCACTTCTGGCCTATTGTACCAGCTCCAGATGATAGGTGAGGGTGATTGTGGAGCAATTTGTGGAATGAAGATTGGCAGGGGAAACCGAAGTACTTGGAGAAAAACTGGCCCAGTGCCACTTTGTCCACCACAAATCCCACTGGACCAGACCCGAGATTGAACCTGGGCCGCCACGGTGGGAAGCCAGCAACTAACCGCTTGAGCTATGGCACGGCCCTGAGGATTATGGTAGGTAGGAGAAAAGGTTTCTCTACACAGGAGAGCATATTTCACAAAATATCAATATCTGGGACATTGCTAGACATATTGCAAGGTGGGCACTAAAGATTTGAACAAAATCTGCCTGATAAATAGCACATTTCATTATTGTTATTATAAAAAATATGCATTTCTGCGAAGTGACAAGGTTGTGCAAGCAGGTATTGAGCTTCTCAGGTGTGAATATGATATCCTCCTCTCTCTGCTGGCCACATTTGTTGCAAATTTTAAGTGGGAGCAACAGAAGTGTTCGATGTTTCTCAGTTACACAGCTATGAAAGCATCAAGCCTAACTTGGCAGTGTACTCTGTGGTAGAAACAAATCCATTTGGGTTTGCCCCTGAACTTTTTGTTGTATGAGACCCCCTCTATGTAGTCAGATTTCAAGGAAATATCAGTACAAGTCTCATTTTGTTGTATGATGTTGCTGGCAGCTGATTGAGGCTCATGCTTTGTTATGTTTAAATCTGGCTGCTTATATACTACAGTACCTGTATTGGCCCTACCTAGTCTGTATCATTTTGCTCCATAGTTCTTTCTTTCCCCCTGTCTGAAGCTTGTTTCTTATTAACTGCTCAGGCACACCCAGGCCATCACAGTGCATCTATATTCATAAGGGCACCGCAAATGTAACTCACTACTTGTCACCATATAACAATTCTGGAGAGTTTATTTCAGTACTTCACATAGTCAACACTTTTATACTTTTTTCTAAATTATGAAGTGCCTTCTGTTTTTCAGAAGATATCCAGTTTTATACTTTTTACTTTTACTAAAATGAGCAACATACAATCCCGTCACAACTAAAGAATTAAGATTTTTACTATTGTGAACTTGCAGTGCCCTTATAATGGTAGTTCCATCCAGAGTTCCAGAAATATTCTACCCACTCGACATGGGAAAGTTAACAGATACTGATGGCAAGTATATTTCTGTTCACAGTTTCAAAAACCAGAATTTAATAAACAGTTAATTTGGGGTTGTTCAGTACCCATTACAGAGTTCCAAGTTATGGAACACTTGGTCAGTGGAGAAGTTCACCATATTTTGTTTTGAGTGACTGAGCATTCTTCATCAGCTCAGGTTGTGTCATTTCTGTATTGTGGGATTATGGGCCACTGGATTTTATTAAGTAGCCAGGAGATTTAAATTGTATTTCTGGAGCCCTGGGCCATCGTGTTATTCTGCAAGAGAGATTGATGCAGCCTGCTTGGCTGTGTCCGTTTTTGTAAGCTGAATTGGAGTGCATGTGATTATTGAAGAAGATAACATCCTATTACATCAAAGTTTGGTTCATCCAAGCAAGAAGAGAATCATTATTTGTTAATTGTTTATGGTATGATACTCGACCCATTTGATATATCAACTTCATGTTCCAAGAATAGAGTTCAATTAGTGTCCAGTTTGTAATTGTACATAGTAATAACTGTTTTTTTAATTGTTGTTTCTTTCTGAGATGGCAACATTTTCTATAGGGCACTGTACATATTAAAACCTGCTCAAGATGGTGTTCATAGACTGATATGCATAAGACTGAACTTGATTATCATATTTAAAGTTTGTAGAAAGACATAGTGGGAGTATAATTTGATTTTGTTGCGTTGACACCATCTCGGAAATAATCCTGTGTCATCATGTGGTGTGATGTGACATACAGCATGCAAGATTTTTGCTTCGTGGAACTTGTCACAGAATTGTTCGGAATCATCGTCTTGGTGAAAAATGTAGATGCTGATGATACAAGCAAAGCAGAGATGTGAACCTTGAAAGAAAATGCTACATACTGACAGTGTGCATTCCAGCTGGAGAAGTTGGTTTTATGAGAAGTTATGTATGATAGGTTGAAGAACTGTTGCTGTGTTTGTTCAGAAACTCCCATCATGTTAATACTGTTAATGCTTATTAGTTATTATTATTATTATTATTATTATTATTATTATTATTATTGTTTTTTAAGCCTGAATTTTGATGTTGTCCACAGCTGTAATGTGTTTTAATTGTGGATCCAGTGCCATACTTGTGCATGGTTATCACATATTTCTTTAAGTTTGAATACTACATTTACTGTCACAGAGTGTTTCTTGCAGATGAGGCCTTATGTTGACAGCCAAGAGAACATTTAGTATGGTTATGGTAATAGTTTGACCTTATCCATTATTCACTCTAGGTCCCCTGGCAAGAGTCCCTTTTTCTTTTAAAAAATGAACTGTTACTATTGATCCCATATAATAATAATTATTCAAAAACCTTGCTAAGGCCTGTTTGTGGTTTCATGTTCTCATATCTTATGTAGTTCTATGTTTACCAGTGATGGAAATGATTGAGAATGCAAGAGCCTCTTTCTTTTAATTAAATGAGAAAGAGTATTTGTTTTTTTCTAAGGTTCACATGAAACATGTTGATGCTGAAGTAATGACGCAAAGTTTTATTTGGGAAGTACCCAGTTTGAATCTATCGAAGGTTACTGGTTATCTTAACAGGTTTTTTGTGGTTTTTCCCCAGTCACTCAACACAAATAATAAGACAATATCTTGACACAGGTTACAACCACCTCCTACCAAATCCTTATTCCTACCATTCATAATTATTTTCCTGACTCATTTGACATTATTCAACATCAGCAGTTTTCACTAAATAATCCATGAAACTAAAGTTTGCATATTTCATTAATATTTGCTGTGAATCTTACAGATGTCTCTCACTACATAGTGGATACAGTTCCTGCATTGTGGTTTAGGAGGTACTTATTTCATGCTCCAGTAGGAGGCAGGTTGTCTGACTGAAACGTTTCATCTCTTCCTTTCTTAACTTTCCAATTGCCATACATGCATTTCTGTGCCAGTCTGAATGATATGTGTAATTCAGTAATTAAGCAATAATTAAACTCTGCCCAGTTATTCAAAGGTAATGGGGGGATGTTGTTTTTTTTTTTTTTTTTTTTTTTTTTTTTTTTTTTTTTTTTTTGTAGTTTACATAATTTCATGACATCTGAAACCTCTCCCAACCAAAATCTTGAAAATGCACTGTAAATTTTCTTTTCTAACTTTAGCTGTTAAAACATTTGCATATTCTCTCTCCTAATGGCATCTGTGTAGAATTAACTAATTTCTTAATGCTCTGATAGGCTGTATGATATATGGGAACAGTGTTCTTTTGTTCCAGTTTCTGAGCTTTCTTCACATTGAAAGATATTAAATGACTACTGTATTGGGAAATAATATAATACGGTCTGGATTTACATTCTGTTGGAACTTTCAGCGGTAGTAGTGCATATAAAATTATTCTTAATGGAAGGATAGAAAGTCTTAAAAAGTTCTTGTGTTTTTGCACCCACTCTTCTTTTATATCTTTTGCCCCAAGTCCATGTCTATCATATCTCATCACAGGTTAAAGCAATATTTTGTACCATTTCAAATGTGTATTCATGGGTATAATTTACCTAAGTGTCAGTAAATAATTTAACTTAAATGTATGACTGTTTGCCATTTCTTTTCACAAGTTTGCACAGTTTTAATTTACTAAATTTGGTAAGTAGGTAAATTATTGCATTTATTGCACAGGTATTCTGCAAAGTATTAATTGAAGTTTGAGCATATAAAGAGGAGCTTCATAACTTGCACTCTTCTCGAAGTATAATTAGAATGATAAAGGCAAGGAGGATGAGGTGGGCAGGGCAGGTAGCATGAATGGGGGAGAAGATGAATGCATATCATGGGAAAGCTAGATGGAAGACCAAGACATAGGTGGGTGGATAATATTAAAATGTATCTTAGAGAGGTATGATGAGATGGTTGGGTTGGATTGGTCTGGCTCAGGATAGGGACTGGTGGAGGGCTCTTGTGAACATGGTAATGAACCTTTGGGTTCCATAAAGACACAATAGATCACTGTGGTCGCAGTGCAAGGGCCAAGAAGGCCCACCCCTTATACATTCATTGGGTTCCATAAAATGCTGGGAAGCTCGTGAGTAGCTGCACAATTGGTGCCTTCTAAAGGAGGACTCAGCTCCATGAGTGAGTGAGTTGAGCACATAAATTAATGAAATATTTCTGAAGTTAGTTGGATGTATGTGTATAGTCTGTTTGTACTGTGTTCAGAGAAGCTTCTGGAATTTGTATTTGATTTTAATTCAGGTCAGGCTGTAGTTTATGGTTGTGTGAAAATGAATTGCTTTTAGTCTTATTACTTTGACCCATCTATCAGTTTGATACTGCTTAAACTTGCAGTTGATGCATTTTTATTAAACTCTACCTCCATCCATTTCCAATGTCTGTAATATGCGGGTCCTACACATGCATTCCCTGTATACCTCAACATTGTATTTAAATACTGGATTCCTTTACCTTTCAGTCTAACCTACAGTATGTTGATTACTTGGGATAATGTTAAATGCTCTAGAGCCCTTGGTTCTGAAATTGTCTGAGAATCACTGTAATAATTGAAATATATGGTTCTGAGAGATGAACAATGTCAACAAATCAAAATTATGTTAAATTAAATTAAAGTACTGGGACATTAAATTTTAGATGTGATTGTCACCATTGAATTAAGGCTCTGCTGAAATGTGTGCTCCCACTCTTGAGAGAACACATATTGAGGATATTTGAAGACGAAGTGCTAAGGGAGATGTTTGGACTGAGGAGAGAGAAACCAATGGAAGACTCTAGAAAATTACTTGAGGAGCTTTATATTATGTACCTTTTGCCTAACATTCATGGAGTGATTAAATCAAGAAAGACAAGCTAACAGGGACACCTGGGAGATT